TGCTATGGCAACGAGTTTGCGTGTAGCTTGGCGGATACAGAGCGAGAAAGTGCTTTCCCACTCTTTCCCTTTGCTGTGGCTCATAGCACGAAATTAATACCTACATTTCTAAGTTTCACTGAGTTAACGCGGCTATGGATGACATGTAAAAGATTAGTCTTTTTGCCCCCCAGCGTTGTATGCCTGCGCGAAATTTCTGTACGTCCAATAACATACATTATGTCTGTATAAGTCGTAAGTCAGTCCAGCAATGAACGTCACCGATGTCCTGCTATTTGTCGCACGTGCTAATTAATCAATTCACCTCGTCGAGAGTCAGCACAAAGTGCCAACTCTGTTCAAATCATTATATCTAAAAATATATATTTTTTCAACCATACATAAGAGATATTCATAGATCTTAACCAAGTCTTTAATAACTAAAAAAAAAAACATTCTCTCATCATATGAATGCAATCTAGTTTAGCTATGATTCTTGATTGCAGTTATGGGAATCAACTGAATTCAAATCATACACTGTTTCTGCACTTAAACTTAGTTCAAAACATGAATATGTTGTGTTTTCTAAAACCATTTCATTTAATGTAATAGACTTTTTTTTATATTAACTAGGTGTAGTTTTCTCTCCTTAAATGCATAGCATAAATATGCAGTCTTTCATTTTAAAAAAGTAGAAATTGAATAATAATGTCATGAATCTAATAGGAAACACTTTAATTTTGGAGCCAAGATTTGGATAAGAACAACTACAAATAATTGCTTTCCCTAACCATTAATAAAAATAGATCAAAATTAATTACCGGCAGGAGAAGGGGGTTATGGCTCTTTGTCCCCTCTGATGTCGCCCTCATGAATGATGGTTTAAAGAGAAAGCTATGTCCTTTGGCTGCTCAGTTATTTTTGACCAGAAGCTGAATTTCCTCCTCTTCCTGTTGAAAATGAAATTGGGTTAATGCAGTGCATTGTGGGACTAATAGCTGCCATATGAGCCTCCTGTAATCAGTCCCTCATGGCATCATCTGCATTTACTGGATTACTACAACTCATAACTCTAAACATTAAACCTATGATGAGGTAGATTATTAAAAAAGTATAACAAAAAATACTTAAATGAATGTCAAATTAAGAGAAAAACAAAAAAGGGAATGCAAAAGGAAAGTGTTTTTATTTTTAAAGAGCCAGGAGCGGCTTTGCAGTGATCTTGGTTTTACAATAACACAATAAATGTTGGGTGTATTTTTGTTTTTTTAATTTTGTTCTGAAATGACCTGGAGTCTCTGTAGAGCTCCACAGTGAGGTCATTATTATTTAAGCAAAGCTAGCACGAACAAATTATTACAAGTAAATGGAAGCCTGCAGTCTGTGAGTGTCCCTTTTGAAAATCTTTCCATGCCCGTAACCTCTGTGTCATCGCTCTGAGCCCCGGATTTCTTTAACAATCTGTTCAGCTAAATAATGCATATTTGATCTTATAAGCTTGTGACTTTGCTGCATAGTAATGCTTTCAAAACACTGGCATGAGTAAAGTGTGTATGACAAGAACTGTGGGCTCTTCGATTTTCGTCCAACCACTGCCTTTGGATTTGCTCCTGATGTTATTGATGAATCATTTAATTCCCTGTCAGGAAAATGTCTTCGTCTGACTCCTTAGAGCATTAAAGGACTAAGACAAGTGTGAAAGTCAGCACTTGCTTTTTTTTAAATACAATTTGCCACTAATCCTTGTATTTCTATAACTGTTTTGTCTTTATTACAATGCACTAATATATTTATTTTATATCCATAGTATTGGATATCGGACAAAAAAAAATAATCTGCTTGACTCAAAATTAGGCAAACAAAATCTCTGCACAGATTCATTTTAATATGAAAAAATTGTGTAAAAAAAAAAAGAAAAAGAAGAAAAAGAACTCAGTAAAACCTTGATGCTTTTATAAGGATTAAGAGGGCATAAAGCAGCCAAGGGGTGCTAAAAATGTTCTTGATTAATTGGGCATCAGCTATAAAAGCAGAAGTTTGGCAGAGGTCAGCGTACTCCAAATGTGTGTTGGAGTAATGCAAGAAAGGAAAAGCCATAGCAGTGATTCTGGAGAAGTTACAGCGACTGCCCATCACTGCGTAAAGCATCATTAGGCCATTTCCAAATAATCTGAAATGCATCATTCTTCCCTAAGCAAGGTTAAGCAAGTGGAGAACATTCAAGGCGACTGCCTGTCTTCTCTCTCAGAGCCGATATCCCAGCAGGTTGGTGCAAAGAGCAGCCAGTAAAATCCTGAGGTTATATGCAATAAAACAAAAAATAGTTCGTCAGTTGGTGCTAGCTTGTCTTATCAATTAGTTTTTCTCTTTTCTTTTGTTATTTTTATAGTTTTGTGTTTGTTTCTTTTTCTTTTTTCCCCATTATCGTCAACATCAGCTGCTTTGGAACCTTAGACTGCACCGACCCAGCAAGTGTGGATTCTGCAAACTGAGATCAGATAGAAAGTACACAGGCCAGACTTCTGGAATTGAACCATAGTTTGATTGTATTGCAGATATTGGAAGGTTTCATGGTTTTGTTTTCCTAGACTGGATCCAAAAGGTATGACTTCAAGAAAACAAAAGAAATAAAACTATCTCCTGTCGCTGCAACAATTCTAGAGGTGATCAAGTTTGGAGCTTAAGCAGGTGTTGTTCTACTTATTTTGTAATAATCTTTAAGGGAAACAAATATTGAAAAAACATGAGATTAAACACGCTTGTAGCAAAAAAAAATTAAAATAAAAATGTCAGGTATTTGCTACAGTAAAACAATCAACAAAAAACACATGGAAAATATGTGAAATCAGAGGCAACAATCACTGGTAAAACAATCATTTTAGCCCCAAATGACATGAAAATTACACAGCTGTTGCAGAGAGAAATAGGGTTGCCACCCGTCCCTTAAAATGCGGAATCGTCCCGTATTTGGCTGTTAAATGTTGTGTCCTGTATTGAACCGATACAGGACGCGATTTGTTCCGTATTTCTATAAATGTCAGATAGACGTGCCTATCACACATATATCAAAAGTAATTGTAACATTAATGACCAAAATAAAACACAGGAAATATTAAGGTCAGCTAAATTG